AACATTTAACTTATTAGTAGGTATATGTATTTCTGATATAAAATTTTAATAAATATAATGTAGCAAGGTAGGAATACTGCAAAGTATGTCCATACACTTAACATTGTCACTGTGGTTCATGTATCGAAATAGAAAAGGTCCTACTTATGTAGGGATATGAAGTGACGACTTAAAACGAAAATGCGAGGAAATTGTATGCGAATTCGTTCCAATTAGTGAAACGAGGTAAAGTAATCTCTCATCTATTCAGCCCACACAACATCTATTCAAGGTTGCCAGTTTAGCGTTCCCCTGTTAAGTGTATCTAATCCATCAGACTAAGATCAAGGCTAAGTGATTTCGTCAGCTTTTGTAGAGTGACGTTGAATAACTAGCGGAGCAGAACAGTGCAGTACGATAGCACCAGTGTTATTTCTTCACATGATTATCGAGTTTCGATGAAATTCAAGAAGCGAAACAAAGTCTACGCTGTCGTGGAAATTGGTACACGCTTCACTAACTTTTACTAATGCAACACACAAACTGTACCTTAGATAGGTAGGTCATGTTACGAATACACAAGCAAAAATCTTGTTTACCAATTTATTCAAGGCAACCGATCGAATCGATCTTGTGTTCTTTGTCGAACTTGTAGGTAAAGGGGCTAATGTGTCTTGATAATTGTGTAGAGTTGCTTATTGAGGTCTAATTAAATACGCATATAACCTACACACATGCTATATTTCACACAGATTACCACTTTACAGAACTCTACTCAATGCTCAAGTCAGGATTGCAATGGAAACACAAGCACTGGAAATACGACCCTAATGGCAGTGACTTGAGTATGATTTCGAGTGCTTTAAACCATACTCAAATCCTAACTTGAGCATTGAGTAGAGTTTTAGAATACGACCCTAAGAGAGAAATTTGAACTCCCGTATAAGTGTCTAGAGAACTATAAACTGCCTCCACATAACTCACATTGGATCACCAAAAAGATTTTTCAACTTTACGAGTATAGGCAACTAATTCAAATTAATTTGGGTAATTTTCCTAAAAGTTTCAAATAGTAGAAATTTATAGTAAAACATTCTAAAAAATTGGAAAAATATAATTCGAAGAGTCATATTATTATTATGTTCTACATTTAGATATATCTTGTTAATGTGTTTAGCGTGAATGATAAATCAAAATTGTATGAACATAGCTAAATGTAATTTTCTAAACCCTTTATTTATTATACCCTTTATATATTTGGTTTATTTTCACAATTTCAGTATCTTCAACTTTTGACAGATTGCACTGTCATATGTGGAAAAATATAGGAAAATTATTAAATAAAAAAGTCTGAAACTTTGAAAAAGTCATTTTTTGTAAAAATATGATTTTTTTCAAAATGGAAAGTTTTCCATGACGAAGTTGGAAATAGAAGCGATGAACTACTCTAGGTTACCTCTATATTCGTGATTGTAGATGACTAGAATTCTTTTTATACTCTACTATGGTCATATAAAGCTTTGTAGTCACGTCGTTGACTGATCATTACTGACTTAAGAAAGATTAATCCCGCTTGACCAGCTCTTGACACCAAGTATCATGATCTGATGTCATCAGTGGTTAAATCAACTGAACCGTTAGCTCCAATGTCACATAAACAATAGTGTTAGAGGAGTAATTGATTACTACCTGCATCACTGTTGCATTACATAATACATATTATTTATTTAGTAGAGTTAAAAGTCCATGTTTTTAAAAAACGACGTAATTGCTTAGGTCATCATCATCGAACCACATTCGGCCGATTGCAGGCTACCTACTCTTTGGGGAAGGTTCCAGCTATGGCCTACCGCGTTCTAATGTGGCGGGTCCAGATGTCAGGCAGCGGAGTTACTAGAAGCTCGTATGACATGCAGGGTTTCATCGCCATATTTTCCGTAATTATTGCAGTACATACTTATTGATGATGAAATTACTACATACCAATCCTTTTGAAAATAGTGGGCTTTAGACAGACACTATCGCGAGTGATACAGCAATCGTGCGCGATCGAGCGCGCGTGTAAAGACGTTGGAAAGAAAAGGGAAAAGACCGCTCCACTCCAACACGCGCCAGGTTCACGCGATCGATCCTGCGCTACCAGCCTTTACATGGACGCTCTTGCCGTTGTAACAAAAAAGAACACGAACAACCGCGCGCAAAAGGCCGTTAGCTTAAAAAAAGCAAATAGGTACTCGCGTACGATTACGCGTGCAGGCTTTTCCGCGCACAATCTTGTACACTCCTGTAGGGCTAGCATTATAAAGCGCGACTTGAGCAAGAACTATTGTGCTAGCCCTACTGATCACGACTATGTAAAGGGGGCTAATGTCTTAATCAGGCCTTTACATGGGAACCAAAATCGGGACCAGATAAAACACGAGTTTTTTAAACTATGCAATCACTCAATAGCTCTTACGAGTTCTGTTGCCCTTATAACTATAGACTAAGAGTCGTATTCTAGAACTCTACTCAATGCTCAAGTCAGGATTGCAATGGAAATACGACCCTAATGGCAGGGACTTGAGTATGATTTCGAGTGCTTTAAACCATATTCAGAACTCAAGTCAGGACTTGAGTATTGCAGTGAGCACTGAAAATCATACTCAAATCCTTGCCATTAGTGTCGTATTTCCAGTGCTTGAAATCATACTCAAGTCTGCTCAAATCCTTACTTGAGCATTGAGTAGAGTTCTGGAATACGACCCTAAGACTTATAGGTAAGAGCGTACCTATCTTACAGGTGCAAATCACACTAATATTGATATGTTTATTATCACTAGTATTTCTTTTGCACGTAGCTACAGAATAACTTTCTAATATATACCCTATTATTATGTATGTATATACTATATATATATATATATATATATATATATATATATTACTTTTGTTGCTGACTACAAGCTACATGAACATTAAGTAAAATTTGGTTTAGTTTTTCAATTAACGTGATACCAACGTACCGTGGTGGCTATATCGTTTATCGGTATACATTACGTATTTACCTAATAAAACATCGTATTCACGAGGTTTTTCTTGCTAAACATACTAAGTAATTGGACGCGCTAATAACCAGGAACATTTAAGAATGCAGGTGCATATTCTGAATTAATCAGTATCAGAATACAAATCATAGCTTTGAAGCTGCCTTGGCTCACGCTATTTTTAGTCATAAACTAAACGTTAAGCGCCTGGAAACTTTCAGGCTTGAAATATTCTGATAACTTATAACATTAATTCCTACGAATACGTAGATACCTATGTAGGGAATGCATACTTCCTACGTACCTATATACAACTTCGTAATACAGTGATTGTAAATAAAATTATAACACATCTTGATTGACCAAGTCCAATATAAGATACTTACCTACTTACTAGTAATGTGTATGATGCCTAACCATATACAGAAAAGATTCTTGCAATTATTTACATTCGTTATGAGTAAGCTTTTAACGTGTTACGCTATTAAGTTGACTTCCTGCTTAAAGAACGCCTTGTAAGGATGAATCAATTTGATGTGTATCATGATGCTGTGCTGGCAACCCACTAGCCACTACATTGGCGATGGCGCTGTAGGCGTATCGCCCACGCAGCCATTCCATGACATGATACCTACGTCCCCCTCTCCGCATCGGCAATACTTCGATTTATCTACCTACATAGACAACAAGTGCCGAAACCCTATCCCAGGGCGCATGTCTTGTTGCAAGCAACCTGAATGCAAGTCTGAATAAGGTTGATTATCGAACAGGAAACTACGTTTATTGAATTTTCTATTCAAAAATAACAGTCTGTATATGTGTGCGTCAAATCAGAATCGAGGTCTCAGTGGTCTCAATACTATTACTACTTTACATTACAATTAATGAGAAGCAATGAATGCTAAATACAAGAAGAAGTACAACACATGATTAACGTACGTAATTACGAGAACAGATATTTCGCATAGCTTTTTAAGGCAAGATAACAAATCCTGCACTGATTTGAAAATAAACACCTGTATTCATTTTAACTGGTATGATTCACAACGTCGTGAGAATTCCGATAAAACAAAGACAACAGTTGATAAAGCACAAGGAACACATGATAAGAAATAAAATTCAAAATGAAGAATACCGTATATTTATTACATCTTATACAATATAAAACAGCTAAGATAAAAGTAGAATATTATAGATTAAGTATACATCAATGCTAATTACTGTCAAGAAACATTCCTGTGCTGGTGGGATGGACCGATGCCATGTGATATAATAATTTGGTCCCTTACTCTTTCAACAAGACTTCATCCTTCAAATGCAAAATTAACAAACATTAGGGTTAGGCCATAATGAACATACGTCCTCACAAAAATGCAGGGAATTGAATTGACGCATCTGAACTACATACATTAAGATTAAAGACACTTTTCCATACAAAGTGCTTTAGCTTATAATAACCCAAACTTAACACCAAAGAGAACTATATAGATATTACATTACTAACTAGAAATATTAATCAATAAAAGAACTAAACATTCTGTGCTTCATTTTACAAACTTGTGCTTATTGTTTGTGTGTTAGGTATAGTTTAATAATTAAGTTTAGTTTAATGATATTATGTTTCTTTTAACACTTCAATTAGATTGAAAGATATCTAATGGACACATCCATCATAACAATCAATTTATTTATAACTACTAGTTTTAGGCAATATTTTTGCAATAAATGTAAGTAAAATATCAGTTCTTTAGTTCGATTTGATCAATAAATAAGCTCCCCGAGGATCAATATTTAATACTACTACCTATCACAAAAGAATTCTGTACAATATAGTTGGCCACTCCATTAAGCACAGATTTAATTATAAAATTTCAAAAATCTGGTTTGTAAAAGCAACATCAAAGATAAATACATAAGACTAATAATATAATAAGCTATTTTAACATGTTTAAAACAGGTATACTTAATAAATTTTTCCATTTTAGTGAATATATATATATACATGTAGAATTTTGTAGAATGTTATCAAAATGCAATAAATTTTTATGACAATAAAAACCTACATAATACAATACAAAATATACTTTATATTGTAAATATAAATGGCATAATGCTCATGTCCTGTATTTTTGGAAGGGGTGTGATTGAATGGGATTAAACTTCAAGCTCAGTCAAGTTTTAGTCTTGAAACAAATCCGTCTGATAAAGTACAACATCAAGGTATTGATAGTGAACTTCTTACGCGTACAACGGCTCCTGGCGATTATCGCCTGCCTGGCGGGTTCTCAGTGATCGCGGGAGGGGCAGGGGCAGGAGCAGGGGCGGAGGAGTTCCCACCAGATGTGGCCCAAACGATGATGATGATAAGAACCACGGCTGCGATCGCACCGATGATCAACATCATCTTCAAATTCTGCCACCAATATTTCCTCTTCAGCTTACCAGCCTGTTGCTCGAACTGGGCGGCACCATGTTGCAGAGCATCAGCTCGATTATCGAGCTCCGATAATTTAGAATCTCTCTCTAAAACTTTTTCAACATTGACACGCATTATCCCCACAACTTCGTCTACTTTTGCTTGCGTTTGAGCCAGTCGCTTATCGCTAACCCTAGGGGCAGAACTTCCTCCTTGGTCCTCCATTGTGCTGAATAGAGGATTTTCTGGAGAATATGCACAAAGAACAAAAACTCTACGACGATAAAACACGTAAATAAAATATGGCGATAATGGAATGAATGACACATTCACTCAACAAGTTAAAGACGTCATTCATTAATTCAGTTCATGTAGCCCAACGTTTCTACGCTTTCACAGTACAGCGAAATGGCCATAGAGGATTGAAAAAAGTAAAGGCATGGCCTTAGACTATGGAAACCTATTTTTTCCATCCTGTCTGAACAATATTTTTAAGATTTTCTGGATTTTCATCTTTTGTTACTCGATTATTAAATCCGTTTTCAGGCTACTAGAACATAAAACAAGAACAAAAAATTGTCTTTGGTATTCAACAAGTTGATACTATATTCAGTGAAAATGGCGGGTTTTTGAACTTACGAGTACAGTTTTTACGAAGGTTATTTGTATTTTAAGTAAGTATAATAAGAAAAAATGAAGAAATTTAGAACTATATTCCTTGTTTTAAAACAAATTACAAAAGACTTTTTCCTGAAAATTCCACTAATTACGAATTCAAAATTTTTATTCAAAGTGATGGACGATAATATGATTTAAGTTAAAGGTAAAACGTAAATATTGACATTCGCCGCTTAAAAGACTATTTAAAAACCCAACTGTCGTATTCCAGAACTCAGGACAGGAACAAGTCAGGACTTGAGTATTGCAGTGAGCGCTGAAAATCATACACAAGTCCTTGCCATTAGGGTCGTATTTCCAGTGCAATCCTGACTTGAGCATTGAGTAGAGTTCTAGAATACGACCCTAAGGGTCGAGGGACTTGAGTAAGATTTCGAGTGCTTTAAACCATACACAGATCCTGACTTGAGCATTGATCGCAGTGAAGTATCGCCGTGATCATCAATCAATGAAGCATTGCTTGAGCATTGATTCAAGTCTTAAGCATTTCGTTTATTCTTGAATAGTACTCAGTGCTGTAGTTAGTATAGGTTTATCACCCGATAAATAACGTCACGATGAAAAAATCACAGTGATCCGCCGACAAACAGTATCACCGTGACTCGTTCCGAAGGAACGACGTTCCAAAGTCACATAGGGTCGTATTCTAGAACTCTATTCAATGCTCAAGTCAGGATTACACTGGCAACACAAGCACTGGAAATACGACTCACATACACTCCAAAAATCAGACGTTAATTATAAGTTGTTACATAACCTCATTTTTACTAAATCTCTTATAGCTCTGCTCTCAGTTCAGTTCGCAGAATTTTCAGTGATGATATATCAACACCTACGCAATGAACTGATACCACCTTCATATTTTACATCTTGGATTGATTGTATGAAAGCGTATCCATCTCCTTCTAGATTACCAAGAAAAATCGAAATATTATATTTAACCCAGCACCGATTAATAAATTATGGAATTTCATTTTAAATTGTCTACAGTTTAATCCATTTACACCATTTAGTAAGTTTTTAAATAATTGGGGTACTAATACCACCACCACCATCACCACCACCAACAACGACAACGACAACGACAACGACAACGACAACGACAACGACAACGACAAAGACAACGACAACGACAACGACAACGATAACGATAACGATAACGACAACGACAACAATAACAGTGGCGCAATTAATATCGATATTTACTCTAAGTTCATATCGAATGTATAATAAAAGACGATACATTACGTAATAATTTCTATACGCATCATAATTGATAACTTAACTTGAATGATGGCGAGTGCGTGTGAGACTTAGGGTCGTGTTCCAGAACACTACTCAATACTCAAGTCAGGACTTGAGTATTACAGTGAGTACTGAAAATCATACTCAAGTACTTGCATTGAGTAGAGACGACCCTAAAGTCGTATTGTGCGTACAGTGCTTGAAATCATACTCAAGTCTGCTCAAATCCTGACTTGAGCATTGAGTAGAGTTCTGGAATACGACCCTAAGCCTTTCTTTACCGTTACTCTTACTAGTGACGGATACTAAAAATTTAAAAGGTTCCTAAAGATTGTTTACATTTAATTAAATATCTTAAACCAGCAGTGATCCATGATTTGTTGACATTAAAGCTTTTCTCATCTTTCAGGTGAACAGCAGTGACCATGTTTGCCAAGCTTGCTGGTACTTGGCGCAAAGACCACCTGTTGAAGCACCAAGGCAATATTGATGACCACCGTAGTGTTTGTCTCTGCTGTGAGCGTTCTCTGCTTCACAAGTCAGCCATGTTCTTCATATTAACTCAAATTGTGAATTGAGAATTTATAATGTTATAAAATAATGGATTATGCCATGAACTGTACGTTGAATCAGATTACATGTTTTTATAATTACTTTTACTGTAAGCCATACATTTTTTTAAATGCTTAAATGATTATGTTTGTTTGTTGCAGGTAGAAATGGCACGTCGCATGTCATACTTGGGTGGCTACAGACTGAGCTGCTGTCCATATGGTCTCGGACTCAACAATTTCTTCACAAGGAAGCTATCCTGAAGAAATAGACAGACACAAGATCTTCCCACTGAGCCTCCAAATGAAAAAGTTAGAGACTAACAACCTGAACCTACTATTGTATTATCAGACTACATGAGAGCTATAGAAACGGAAGTAGGAGCTTTATTGAAAGACACCAGACAACAGAGAGGTACAGAGTGAAATAATAAATCGTTGAGAATAGTTGTCTTTGTGATTGACATTTGATTATTGAAGCATGGTATTTTTTAGACAGTCTGTGGTCTAATTATGTACCAGACTTTTACAGCAAAGCAAGCATATCCAGGATATGATATCCCTATAAGAAGTTCTACATCTTGGTTTACTGCATTTTGACAACATAGATTATATGGAGGACCAAGTCGTATATACAAATACATGGATTGGCTTGAATAAAGTATTCTCACTGCTCAACAAAGTTTCTCAGCTACTGGAAATATCAAGAGCATCCCTAGCTTTAGCAGCATATTTGATGAAGCTTAGAACTGAGGATTTGGAGTACAATTGAAATTAAATAAAAAATTATTTAAAATTGTTTTTCTGTTTAAACATCACATCCTTACCTGTAATCTTTTGAATTTCATAACATCCTCCAACTCTAAAAATATATAAGGGTTATACCCTATATAGATAATTATGGTTGTTACATGTGATGAACTATTTAAAGTTATGGAACCAATGTAACTTTGCTGATGATGTTAGTAATATAGTCCTGCAAGGTTATATTTTACAAATATTGTAAAATACTAACAACCTCGCAGGACTATATTGCTAACAACTTTGGTTCTACAACTTTACAATTCATGACACTTTACATTGATACAAAATTTTTTTTTTTAATAGAGCGCTCTAAACAGTAATAAAGTAACTCTGCAAAAAGCAGGAGCGCGAGTAGGGGTCGTCTTTGAGGATGCTTGCTTGTTTGAACTTACTACCAGATACAGATCTAAACAGTGTCAGATAGTACAGCAAAAAGTTAAAAGTTTATTTTTGGTAAATTATGTTTTGTAAAAAGTCATGGAACGAAAGTTGTCTATAATGTCAGTACGTATGTTGTCAGTCCTATGTTGCCGTTACTATTTATAAAATAACCCTGTATATAAAAAAATAACAAATGCACTCCAAAAATCAGCTGTTAATTTTATTATAAGTTGTTACATAACCTCACTTTTACTAAATCTCTTATAATTGTGCTCTCAGATCGCCAAATTTCATAGAATTTCCAGTGATGATATAACAATACATTAGCTATTTATTGATATCACCTTCAACTTTTTACATCTTGATCCAAGATTCTATGAAAGCGTATCGATCTCCTAGATTACCAAGTCAAAAAATCAAAATATTGTAAAATTGTACTTAATCAAGCATTGATTAACAAATTAAAAGGAATGTAAAAAGGATTAAACCGTAGACAATTTAAAATGAAATTCCACATTTTAAATTGTCTACGGTTTAATCCTTTTTACACCATTTAGTAAGTTATTAAATAATTGGGGTACTAATACAAACATCATTCTACTGCAATATTCGAAATTAGATGCATTAACATTGTATTACGCGTAATATTAGTATCACATGAGATGTCTCATAAACAAACATCACTATGTTACCGTTACAACGTCACTCGCATTACTTAGACTATAAACATCACTCCGTAATATCACCATCACTCATTACACTAAGCATCACGCATCATAAACATCACTCTGTAATACGAGCATCACGCGTACTGTTTCAGGTAATACATCACGCGAGTAATGTTTCGGGTAATGCATCGCGCACGTACTGTTTCCGAGTGATGCATCACGCCGCGTACTGTTTCGCGTAATGGGTGTTAGTAGCGACAACTGGCAGCAGCGCTACGTAACTCTACGACACGGTTAGCAATGTCCCATCAAGTAGTACGTCGAAAATTTGCTGGGTGGCGCTATCAATATAGATATTTAGTTCATATTGGGAAACGTCCAGAGCGCCCCGACTTGATCTATGTAATGGGTGATGTTATGTAATGCATATTTTTCCAAAGTGGTGATATCACAGTACCCTATCGCGTGATATCACCTTTGTAATATTACTCACATTACTTACACATGTCTATCAAATACGTTACGCTGAAATTTACTATTGGAAACATATTGGAAATGAAAATTATTTATTACGCTGATCGAAAGGGATATGAAAAACTTACACTTGCGGCTATGATCGCTATAATTCCTAAATTACTATTATACGACTATTGGAAACTTTTAAACGAAGTAAAGTGTTGTTATCATCTATATGCCTATCATTAAAACAAAGCTTGTATTATTGAAACTACCCAGATTTTAACTTAGAAGTTTAAATTATAACGTTCTAGTTGATCAAAGTCAAATAATCATTTATTCTATTGGTAAAATATTACACTTGAAAACGCCATTTTATAAGTTACTTTGAACGTAAGTTTTATACTTAGGAAATGATAATCTTAACATATACTCCGGAATCATATTGTAATAAAATCATATACCTACAGTTCCCCATAAAAGAATCGTTAACTTTAATGATGTACTGGACATACAAACGTATAATCTGTATTTCAGGTGCGATTGGGTAACCACGGTTGTCTGATTTCACTCTTAGGGTCGTATTCCAGAACTGTACTCTATGCTCAAGAGCACCCCCAAATATCTCAAAAACGATACCCAACTTGCCATTATTCGAAAGATCGCGCCCGCCATTTTGGATCTAGAAATGAGTGCCATATTCGTAATGAGCATCCCCAAATACCTCGGAAACGATACCCAGAATCAAAATCAAAATAATCTTTATTTCATAGGTAAGCATTATTACACTTGAAATCGTCACATTGGTTAAACTCTACCGCGGGAATTCGGGGGAATCTCCCCCCAGAAGTATGAGCAAGAAACTCTAGGGGTTGCTCTTCGTAAACAACATTTGTACGCATTCAACTTGCAGAAATGGAGGTCAAATGCACACTTATTTTAGAATAAAAAAAATCTGCAGCCATCGCGATATTGCCTATTCTCAAAAAATTACTTAATATAATTATTTTGAAACAGAATAGCAAAATTGGGAGAAAGAAATCCGTTACTTTGCATTTTCGTGTCTTGTTGCAACGAAATTAGTTTTCGGTTTTAGTGAATATTTATATAAAAATACAAGTTGAAACGCGTTACTTCCTTGTGGAATGTGATGTTAGTATCTATTTTATGTTTGTCTGACGTATTTTTACACTCATTTACCGCACATTTCGTCATTTTTAGCTAAAATTCTGGAGCTGTTTGCGGTGCAAGTTGACCTTGAGTACTGACGGCCCGCCCGCTCGTGTAGGCCCATTGGGAGCGCTTCAATTTGCTTCACTTAGCGTGTGCGGACTAGGTTCACTCATCTGCTATGATAGGTTAAATTTTTTTTTTTTTCCACATTTTCCATGTCGTACGGATCTTGCAGGTCTTTCAACATCTGAAGCAATTGAATAGGATAGTCATCATCGATATATTTTGATAAAGATCAAAATTCTCAAATGGTTTCATCGTAATCTTGTAATTTTTTCGCCGATTATAATGTACTCACTCAAGTAAATATACATTTTGACAACACTCAAGACAAGATTTTACAGTTGAGTACCGTTTAGGAAACAGTAAAACTGAAACGAATCTCAAGCATTGTCCTAAAATTAAGACGCAAGCTGTCACTTCTTCTGACATTACTCAGGTGAACACCGATTACAGATTGTACGCTTGAGTAATGGTTCTGGAATAAAAACTCCGTTTGAAATCATACTCAAGTCCTGACTTGAGCATTGAGTAGAGTTCTTATGTTTCGGATGGGCAACGAATACAAATCGGATGCAGTGCGCCATTATATACTCGATGCAGTGTGCAAACGTACATACTAACTAAAAAAACCGCCACTTTTTTCTCAACCCATATTTATCAACCATTTTTCCTCTATATGTATATAATTTTTTTATTTATCATTCGGCTGAAACCTATATTAATATGATGATGATGATGATGATTTATGCTTTGTTAACGGGCCATCAGCCGACAATAAAGGTGGATTCACAATGCACAAATTTTGGCACCATAACAATTTAGATAAACTCGATGTCTTTTATTTCTGGTTTTTGTTATGTAAATAGAAAGAAAGAGATAGCAGATACTAACGCTACACTGCATATCGACTGTATTCTTTTTTTTATTTTTCATATTCAAATTTTTTGTTGTAGAAAACCACAAGAGTAGAGACATTCGAAATTGAGAATGAATTAAGAAAAAAGAAATATTGGCTATGGTGTTGTGATCTTGCCGATTGAATCGTCTTACCGGTTGGTGACCTGCGTTTTAATTTTCACATTTTTATTCTTTCCACTAAATAAATCCTAAAATGGTAAGTAAAAATATAAAATTTTTATTTGCTTCATTTTATTACAAGAGGTAACAGCAATAACATTGTAGTATCTTCCTCGTTAAGAAAGAAAAATGAAACCGTTGTCAACCTATTCGCACGTGTGTCTAAATACTTTTTCTTGAATTGAACCATTTCAGGTGTCCCTAAACCCAATTAGAATTCTTAAAAATGAGGCGGAAGAGGAGAAAGCGGAGGTTGCTCGTATGTCGAGTTTTATCGGAGCCATCGCCATTGGTGATCTTGTGAAAAGCACCCTTGGACCTAAAGGAATGGATAAGATTTTGGTGTCTTGTGGCAGAAACGCTGGTCAGGTACGTCGTACATACTATCTTTAAATTAATATACTTATTAATACGTTAGAAACCATTGTTTTTAACATAACCTTCACTGTCACATGATTCTTTCTCTATTGTCAGGTTGAAGTCACAAATGACGGTGCCACAATTCTGAAATCGGTCGGCGTTGATAATCCAGCTGCCAAGATCTTGGTGGATATGTCCAAAGTTCAAGATGATGAAGTTGGAGATGGTACCACATCTGTCACAGTTTTAGGTTGGTTTTCCTTCTCTCTATGCTTCTATAGTATACTTGAGGATCTAAGGAAAGTTATTTAAGTAACATCTTTAAATTTACCAGTTGTGTTACCTTTTTGTTGCAGTGTAAGAAATTTCTACACATTGTATTAATACATTTTTGAATGATGCTTGGTTTCAGCTGCAGAGCTCCTTCGTGAAGCTGAGAAACTTGTAGAACAGAAACTTCACCCCCAGATAATTATATCTGGTTGGAGAATTGCAGTAGATGCAGCAAAACAGGCTCTGTCAGATGCTAGCTTTGACCATGAGACAAATCTGAATGAGGCAGCACTGCGCTCAGATCTGGAAAACATTGCTCGCACCACGCTCAGCTCTAAGATACTTTCTAATCACAAAGAGTAGGTATCCTTAATGAGTGCAGTGAAATGTGAGATGTTGCTATTTTTTTATTAGATTGTATTTATTACTTATTACTTAGTCACGGTAGTGAGAAATACTATGAAATTCTACCTATATATAATAATAAATAAACTTCAAAGTCCATTACACATTGTAAACTTCAATTCTTGATGCCTTTTTTAATAGAACACAAATAAAAAACCAAGTTTTATAATGCGCGTGTGTAGAGTAATTACAATCTTTCTGACTAATTTAGGGCTTATTATAGTGCCTTGTTTAGGTGTTTAATATTTAATTGTTAATATTTTTTAATGTTAGCATTTAAATATTGGATATCGGCATGAGTTTGATGAAAAACCTAATTTATATATTTTTTTATTTTAGAATTTAAAAAAGCAATATTATTTTAATCTCCAGGCACTTCACAAAGTTAGCTGTGGATGCAGTGTTAAGACTGAAAGGTTCTGGTAACTTAAAAGCTATCCAGGTTATAAAAATTGCTGGTGGTCTTCTTGAGGAATCATTCTTAGATGAAGGGTTCCTTTTGAATAAGAAGGTAGGTAAACTGATTTCGTTCATAATTTCTATCATTTTTTTTAAATTGATTTGCAAAGAAATTACTATATTTGCTATAATGCATTTTTGTGTAATCTTTTCATATGCTACATGGACAAACTTTTTTATGTTATTGTCTATGTTACTTATTTTAGGTAGGAGTACACCAGCCTAAACGTGTAGAAAATGCCAACATCCTCATTGCCAATACTCCCATGGACACAGACAAGATTAAGGTGTTCGGTTCCACTATCAAAGTAGACTCTATGGCCAAGATCGCAGAGCTTGAAGTGGCAGAGAAAGAGAAGATGAAAGACAAAGTCAACAAAATACTGGGTCACAAATGCAATGTTTTTATAAATAGGTAAGTTGTGTTTAAGTGCTTCATGTTCACTATAAAATATGTTCAGCTTACACATTTGCCACACCTGCTAAAAATACACAGTATATATAGATATATATTAACAATTCTAACATAGAATGAAGCTGTCAGAGTTTATGGATTTGTTACTTGCATTATAATAACCATGGGATATTGAGAATGTTTCCTTTGGTTTTTTTATTTATTGTCAGGAATTATGCCTTTTGTAATTATTACTAAATCTTTTCATAAATTTCTTTGCATGTAAATTAAGTATATTTAAAGGCAGTATAGAATGTTAAATAAACTAATGTATTAAATTGGAACATAAAGTAATAATAAAAAAAATAGTATGGTCAAAATAACATTATAAAATTCAGATAAATTGAAAAAGAATGCTGTTGTTTCTTATGAAAATGGATATGGATAAGGGAAAATATGACTCCAAATTTGACTTGCATTCTTCGGTTTTACAGTTATTATTAAAAAAAAAATTGCCATTGCACACGTTTTGTAAGTTGGTTTTAAGTGTAGCCACAGAGACGCGAAATTCGCTGTCAGGCAACTGGCGCGGGTGTCGCGAACCACAGAGTATCGGTCTCTAGTGATGCGCCGTAACAGCTAATTTAGCCACAATTTTAGTTTAAAGCGAAGACATGCTCAGAGCGCTGTTGACATCAACATGCTCACTTTTCTATCCGGGGTTCATTCATGCATTGATTTTAATAGATTAGTAATTGTTATGTTTTAATCGACTTCAAAAAAGGAGGAGGTTCTCAATTCAACTGTGTTTTTTTTTTGTATGTATGTTACGCGATAACTCCGGTATTTGTGAACTGATTTTCATAATTCTGTTTTTGTTGGCAAGGGGGTACTTCCATAGTGGTCCTATTTCATTTCGAACGAAATTATCCACCTCTAAGGGTGGCTGTTCACGCATGAAGATTCATTTTTATAAATAGCGCCTAAATTTTCTTAAGGAGCAATTATTTTAATGGTTGATTTTGCTATTTCTCCAATTCAAGACGTTTTTTCTCAATATTCTTTGAGTAGTTAGAACCGATTTTTATTATCTCCAGTGTCAAGTCCTGTATAGTGGCGAATTTAAGGATATTTCATTAAAACTTAGCAATTAGATGTAATTCCACGTACTTTTGAGGTCAGTTTTTTTAGTACTCTGTACTGATTGTGTTTCACTTCACTTTTTTAATAGGTTTGCATTACCTCAATGCAGTTGACGATTGCTATCGGACCTTTTTTTTTTTTTTTTTAGCATATGAAAAGTGTGTAGCATTCAATTACCTACTGTCTATAAATATCTCGTCAATTGTCGCTTTCAGGCAACTAATCTATAACTATCCTGAGCAACTTTTTGCGGACGCTGGCGTAATGGCCATCGAGCATGCGGACTTCGACGGCATTGAGCGGCTGGCGCTCGTCACGGGAGGAGAAATAGTCTCTACATTCGACTCGCCTGACAAGGTCAAGCTGGGACACTGCAAGTTGATTGAACAGGTTTGTAAATTTTGTGGGATGACTGAAAGGAAACTAGACAGGTAAAAGAAAGGTAACATGCTTTTAATGATAGCAAGATAGGACTGGGTTAAAAAAAATGTCAAAAAATCATAGGTTCCCACACTTATTGGCTCACCGCCCACTTAGGCAAGATAAAAAAATTTCAATGCCCACCATAAAAAATTATTGAAAACACGTATTTTTTATATAACTTAACACAAAAAAGGTAGTGTAGTTTATATAGATAATTCAGGTTTTTTTTAAAACGCAGTAGCATCCCCTGGTCAGCATCAATTGCTTCCGAGGCCTCTACCAGTACTCTTCAGCGCCTACTGGGCGTAGGCGGTAGGGACCACTTTGGGGAACTATGGTTTAAATTTATTTTTTACAGACCTACACATTGTTAGATAGTGATAGGTTTAAGAAACATACATATTTTAAGAACTAGTAGTAGTTGTATTATACTTGATGAAATATTATTTGCACTGATTCGTCTCATCCCTTTATCTTTACAGTACAATAGGACAAAAAAGTAAGTCATCTTGGTACCGTACGTGCCATCTGTATATTGCAACGAGTTTAAACACTTACATACTGGTACTTAACTCTAAACTTCATAATTTTTATGTGGAACTAACTGCTGAATTGGCAAGAAAAGTGTCAGTATTCAGTATTTTACGAACACAAAATTTAGTTTAAGAAAAACAACCAATTGTCGTCAGTGTTTTGTTTTATAGAAAGGGCAAATTTTTTAGGGGCACCTCACCTAGTTTTTTAGGTTTTCATTACGTTTGTCTTGTTTTAAATTCAATAATTGAAAATGTAATAATTAAAACTAAAATTGAAAGAAAACAGGATGTAAATAGTTTTAAAATAGTTGTTAAAAAATGAAATAATAAGTGTAGGAAATAATTGAAAGGATAGTGGAGAAAAAGACAGAACTTAGGAGTTGAGGAAGTGATCCTTGACACGTCGTTTGAAGGAATCAAGAGGAAGGGAATCTTGAATCGATTCAGGGAGAGACTTCCACAGTCTGATCGCAGAAACGGTAAAAGAGTTGGAGTACAAATTAGAGGTATGGGAGAGAGATGTTTAGTAAGAGAGTATCAGAGGAGCGAAGGGGACGGCAGAGTGTAGAAGAGTAATAATATACATAACATGAATTACAATCAATATTAAGATTTGAATTATACATTATCACTACAGGTGTTGATCGGTGAAGAGAGTCTCATCCGATTCTCTGGCGTGGAGTTAGGCGAGGCGTGTACGATCGTGATCCGTGGTGCGACTCAGCAGGTTATCGACGAGGCCGAGCGCTCGCTGCACGATGCTCTCTGCGTGCTAGCCGCCACTGTGCGCGAGCCTAAAATTATTTACGGAGGAGGTTAGTAGACATTTCTTGTCCCGAACGGCTCTTGCTATCGGACAGTACGTTTTATGAGTCTTTATTTTGCCAAAGTCAAGTGGTACTGGTTGGTCTTCAAATTCAATCAAATCAAATTCAAATGGGCTAATAATAATAGCACGCAAGAGGTGCTTTTAATAATAGCACGCAAGAGGTGCTTTTAAGAAGCCAAAGGAGACCTTGATAAAGAAAGCGTAACGTTTAAACGTTTAGCCGAGAAGTTAACTGGTAGTAGCAAAATGCTGAAGAATTTAGGGGCTGCCTTTGCCCATAAGGCAAGTATGGTAAGCGTGCCCGCCCGCCGCGCGCTGTATACGCAAACATTCGCATAATCTCAGTTGCATAGCGGGCGACGTCTCACGCGCCATTCTTTATAGAATTGAACCAGTCACAAAAAATGACATCAAATAGTAGACGTGTCTATTGGTGTGTTGGGACCAAAAGGTTGTTTGAACAAGAGTGCCTCAAATTGAGGGTTGTTCAGCATTTCATTAATTCATTCATTCATTTCTACTTCTTACTCCTATTCCCATAACCGAGATACCAATCTGCGATGCTAATATAATGTTAATATCAATACATAAGTATTGCATTTTCAAAGGCTGACGAAGCTAAATTCTGCTGACGGTAGCATCATTTCGTCTAAGCCTGAAATCCTGAGGGAGATAGAGAGTTTCTATCGACAGCTATACTCCACGAAAGCACCTGTTGAAAGCGAGGTTAAATACCCCAGAGCCAAGCTTACCCGACATTATGCCGAAGATATCCCGGACGTCAACCTGTATGAGATTAGTGTGGCTCTCAAACAACTTGAGAACAACAAAGCGGCGGGCGATGATGGAATCACTACAGAACTTCTGAGAGCGGGCGACAAGCCGATACTTAAAGTCCTCCAGAAACTTTTCAATTCTGTCATCGTCGAAGGTCAAAGGCCGAAGACATGGGGCAGAGGCGAGGTCGTTCCGTTCTTCAAAAAGGGTGATAAAACACTCTTGAAAAACTATCGGCCATTCTCGCTTCTGAGCCATATCTATAAGTTGTTTTCGAGAGTTATCGCGAATCGTCTCGCTCGCAGGTTTGACGACTTCCAACCTCCCGAACAAGCCGGATCCCGAAAGGGTTTTAGTACCATAGACCACATCCATACGCTGCGGCTGGTTATACAGAAAACCGAGGAGTATAACCGGCCACTTTGCTTAGCGTTTGTGGATTATGAGAAGGCCTTTGATTCGATCGAGACCTGGGCGGTGCTGCAGTCTCTCCAAAGGTGTCAAATAGTCTATAGGTCTATAGAGGTGTTAAGGTACTTATACAAAAACGCCACTATGTCAGTCCGAATACAGGATCAGAGCTCTAATCCTATCCAACTGCAACGAGGCGTGAGACAGGGAGATGTGATATCTCCGAAAATGTTCACTGCTGCGTTGGAGGATATTTTCAAGCTTCTGGACTGGAAAGGACTTGGCATCATCATCAATGGCGAGTATCTAACACACCTTCGATTTGCCGATGATATAGTTCTTATGGCTGAGACCTTGGGAGACCTGAACACAATGCTCGAAGATCTCAGTAGTGTTTCCCAAAGAGTGGGTCTTAAGATGAATATGGACAAGACGAAGATCATGTCGAATGTCCATGTTGTACCCGCTCCAGTTAAAATTGGGAGCATTACACTCGAAGTTGTTGACCATTACGTATACTTAGGGCAGACAGTCCAGTTAGGTAAGTCCAACTTTGAGAAAGAGATCTCTCGTCGAATCCAGCTTTTTGCCGTGGGGCGACGGCTTAAGAATACATTGTCGCCTCCCCATACATGCCCGTGGGGGTCGTAAGAGGCGACCGAGGGTGTCACAAGTGTCCATCTGCTTAGCGTTGTGGTAGGCTTTGTGCCGACTGGATAGCGACCACAGTACACACGGCGGAAAACCCTCCACAGTGAAACGCTTTTGCGAATCGCGTTCAGGAATCAGTTGGTGTACATCCAGTGCACGTGGAGTTTTCGGCGCGGTATCTGGGAGGACTGAGGCGGATATTCGCCATGTCACTTGTTGAGGGATATCTAGTTGACCTGCCGGCCAGGGAGACCCGTAGAAACGGTTGTCCGCTGGCCGCCCGCGGTACAGTACAGGGGCCCAATAGGGACTAACTACCCCTAGAGGCTGCCCCACCATGCCGCGCATAATCTTGGGGTAGGTCGTCGTGCCGGTTAGTGACCGGAATTTGGGGTCCCGGCGGCATATCCCGGGGGGGTACGGGGGCCCTTCCGTTCGGCGGGTCAGCCGGCTATCCTTCAAAAGATCAACGGCATGTATTGCAGTTCCCCTCGTTTTTCTTCTTCGGTGCAGTGCCGAAGGCTTCATCTCTTCACACTACCGTCCTTCTTACCCACCATGACAGCGCAACATAAGAATGCAGATCGTTCAGCGGTGCCTAATCCCCCCACCGCGTTTATTATTGAGTTCGCTAACATCCGCGGACTCCACTCCAACCTCAAAGCTGTCCACCATCACCTCGAGACAGCCCGGCCTGCCCTGCTTTTCCTGACGGAGACGCAGATTCGCCGTCCGAATGATATGAGTTACTTGAACTACCCCGGCTACTCGCTTGAGGAAAACTTTCAGGCCAAAGCCGGGGTATGTGTATATATTCGTTCGGATGTGTGCTGTCGCCGTCTGCGCTGCCTGGAGGACCCCTCCTTTTCCACTATGTGGGTGCTCGTAGAATCTAGTTGTTCAGCTAGAGTCTTCGCGTGCTTATATAGATCCCACAGCGGGGATGCGGAGACAACTAGGCTCTTTGACCAACTGAGCCAGGCGACTCTTGACGCGCAGGCGCAGTTCCCATCTGCGGAGATGGTCGTGTTGGGGGACTTTAATGCTCACCATGAATCATGGTTAAGTTCCCTCAAGACTGACCATGCAGGAAGAACTGCCCACGCTTTCGCTCTCACGCATGACTTGACCCAACTGGTAACCCAGCCCACCCGGGTTCCAGACATATCGGATCATGCACCCTCTTTGCTTGACCTTCTGCTCGCGAGTCACCCTACCTACTATACAGTATCAGTCAGCGCCCCTCTGGGAAGTTCTTATCACTGTTTGGTTGGGTGTAAGGTTTCCCAAATGCCTCCAACTAAGCTGAAGGAGGTCACTCGTCGCATTTGGCACTACTCGTCGGCGGATTGGGATGGTATGCGCGACTACTTTGCGTCCATCCCTTGGTTGCAGCACTGCTTTGCGGGAAAGGATGCCTCAGCAGCTGCCGATACTGTTGTCGATGAGATTGGAACGGCTATGAATTACTACATACCGTCTTCCAGTGTCATCGCCAATCGCAGAGGACGCCCTTGGTTCAATCGCGAATGCATGGACGCTGTTAGTGGGAAACAGGCTGCATATCGTGGTTGGATCAAGGGTCGTGTAACAAAGGATCCCAACCTTGCGTCCCTTAAAGCAGCTTATAACAAAGCAACCAAGTCTTGCAGGAGGGCTTACATAAGAGCGGATGCCCAGCGCGTTTCACGGATTGGCCAGAAGCTGGTAGCCCATCCCACCGGTAGCCGTGCCTACTGGAGCCTGGCCAAAGCCGTGCAGTCCAATTTTTGTCGTTCGTCGCTGCCGCCTTTGAGGTATCCCAATGGATTTTTGGCCTATGGCCCCGAAGAGAAAGCCAATTTACTGGCCGACCTTTTTGGGGCTAACTCCCGCATTCACGACCAAGATGCGCAACCGCCGTCAATTCCCCACTGCGGAGTCACAATGCCTGATATAGTTATCAGGCAATGTGATGTCCGCAAGGAACTGCAGACTCTTGACGTGCGGAAAGCCTATGGTCCAGATGGGATACCTCCTATCGTCCTTAAAAGGTGTGCGGCGGAGTTGTCTCCCGTACTGACGCGCTTATACCGCCTCTCATACCAATCTGGTAACGTGCCCCTAGCTTGGAGGGAGGCCAACGTGCAACCTATCCCCAAGAAAGGAGATCGGTCTGATCCGACAAACTATCGCCCAATAGCTGTCACTTCAGTGCTCTGCAAAGTGATGGAGCGGATTCTAAATATCCAGATAATCCGGCACCTGGAACGTCACTCCATTCTTAATGATCGACAGTACGGGTTTCGGCCGAATCGATCAACGGGTGACGTTCTAGCGTATCTAATGCATCTCTGGGGTGAAGCTATCGACAAACAGGGCGAAACCTTAGCGATAAGTCTGGATATTGCTAAGGCCTTTGATCGGGTCTGGCACCGTGGTCTCCTCTCCAAGCTTCCGGCATATGGTCTTCCCGGCCGCCTTTGTGAGTGGATCTCCGGCTTTCTGCGCGAGCGAAGATTGCGTGTCCTTGTTGACGGAGGCACTTCGCGGCTCGTGACAGTTAATGCTGGGGTGCCACAGGGCTCCGTGCTGTCGCCCACGCTGTTCCTTCTGCATATCAATGACTTGTTGCCTTTTGGCAACATTCATTGCTATGCAGATGATAGCACAGTGCACGGTTGCTATTATAAGCAACCGTCAAGCAGCCGGGAGGACCCTGAGAGAAACCGGGAAAAACTTGTCGCTGAGCTCAACCATGTTTTGGAACATATATCGTCGTGGGGCTCCCGAAACTTGGTTGAGTTCAACGCCAAGATTTGCGTTCAGTTCCAAAAAATCCCCATTCCTTCCACTTCCCCATCTTCAGGGTACAACGCTGACGCTGCAGGACAAGCTCAGCCTGCTGGGGATGAGCATCCGGAAGGACATGAGCAACAAAGACTATATAGAGAGCGTCATCTGTACCGCGTCGCGCAAGCTTGGCATCCTGAACAAGGTGCACCGATTTTTTACTCCAGAGCTGCGATACCTGTTGTATAAAGCTCAGGTCCGAAGCAGCATGGAGTACTGTTCGCACCTTTGGGACGGCTCTGCCAAGTACTTGCTCGATGCCCTAGATGGACTGCAGCGCTACGCCTTCCGTGTTGTCAACAATCCTCATGTAACTGAGCATGCGGAGTCGTTACAGCTTCGCAGAGATATAGCGTCTCTTAGCGTATTCTATCGCCTGTACCACGGTGAGTGCTCTGAAGAGTTATTCAACCTTATCCCTTCCTCTCCTTTCCATCAGCGGACCACCCGGACTGCGTTGCCACAGTTGGACGGTCAGTTCAATACCGTCCCGCACTAAAAAGTTTGGCAATTCGTTCTTATGCCGAACCATCAAATTGTGGAACCAACTCCCGGCGCATGTATTCCCTCCCCTCTATAACATCGGGTCCTTCAAACGTAGTGTGAAGAAGCATTTGGCCAGACCGGCAAAATGATAGTGACGGAGTGAAGATATTTGTGTTTTCCATCCGTTACTCTCATCTCTGGACTGTATTCGCACTTTCCATCAGGCGCGGTGCAGTCATTTTGCCGAGTCACAATAAAAAAAAAAAAAAAAAGCTCGGATGGGTAGCGTTCGGGAAACTACAAAAAATCTTTACGTCCAAATTACCTCAATGTCTCAAGACGAAAGTTTGACCAGTGTGTGTTGCCAGTGATCACATATGGATCAGAAACGTGGTCCCTCACTATGAGCCTCATAAGAAGGCTCAAGGTCACTCAGCGGGCAATGGAGAGACCGATGCTCGGTATTTCCCTACGTGATAGAATCAGAAATGAGGAAATCCGTAGGAAGAACTAAGGTTACCGACATAGCTCGAAGAATTGCTCAGCTGAAGTGGTAGTGGGCGGGGCACATAGCTAGGAGAACCGATGGCCGTTGGGGCGGAAAGGTTCTTCAATGGCGACCGCACCGGACGACGCTCAGTGGGTAGGCCCCCCACCAGGTGGACCGACGATCTGGTGAAGGTCGCGGGAAGCCGATGGATGCGGGCAGCGCAGGACCGATCGTCGTCGTGGAGATTGTTTGGGGAGGCCTATGCCCAGCAGTGGGCGTCGTATGGCTGAATGATGTTTTCAATGCTGCACGAGAATATTGTGATGAACACCTTAAGTTTTCCAAATTTGTTTGACAACCTGTAGCTACAACTAAAATATGTGACAACCTCCTGCAAGCGATGCGTAGGCATTAACGCACCAAACAGGTGGGAATTGCCCTATGTGTTTTATTTATTATACTATGATTAACTTCTGAAGTGCAGCACTTCATTAGCTACATAACAAAAGAGGCATTCTATAAATTTTTTTATGATACCAACAAGTCGTGGGCCTATGTTAAGCTTCGCGCCTGTCCATAGCCGATGCAGAGCCACTCATCTGTTGCAGGGCTTTAAATTGCAAAGACCTGAGGGACATTGTCACTGCGCCTGTCACTCTGAGATATAAGTTGACAAGCATCATAAGGCTGTAATATCATCAGCACCCTTACCCTTCAAAATTGGAACGCAGTGATGCTCACATTACTGCTTGGCGGCAGAAATGGCTAAGATGGCAGGACTTCCCTGGACGAACTCTTTCACGAGGAGCTCTACTGCTATTAAAAGAACTAAACCTTTTGAGTTAGTGTAGTTAAGTTATAGTGAATAAAATAAATGAATGAATGAATGAATGAAATAATTTATTTCAGACTACATGTCCATATAATGTTAGTAGGAACTTAAATAACTATGTTAGTAGAATGCAAAATTTTCATTTTCGTTTACATGAATGGACATCCAATGTTTAAGGATTGGGCTGTCCATCCTCTCTGCTATCACTCTAAGAAGACTGTTGGTACTGCCCCTCACTCTGGCCAGCAGGGAAGCCACTCTTTTCCGAATGATGGCCTGGAAACCGTCGATTCTAGCCAATATTAGTGCCAGCGTTAATTAGACTATGAACTCATAAATAAAGTGTCTTCTCATTAACTAGTATTAAAAGATATTTTTGTCGATGGATAATTTTTTTAATAAGTTGGAACTCTACTGCTGCTAAAAATTAAATTACGTTTTATATGTCAATTATGTTACTCATGAATCGCACATGTGCTATATTATAATTTGTCCGTTCGCCAGGTGCCAGCGAGATGCTGATGGCGGAGGCGGTGTCGCGTGTGGCGGCGCGGACGCCCGGCAAGGAAGCAGCGGCGGCTGAGGCCTTCGCCGTGGCGCTGCGCCGCCTGCCCGCCGCCGTGGCCGACAACGCGGGCTACGACAGCGCCGAGCTCATCGCCAGGCTGCGAGCGGCACACGCGCAGGGGGAACTCACCATGGGGCTCGGTACAATCGCAATATTTTTTTTACAGAATATCATGACGTTTTACTACTATGGTATTCATATATTGTGTAAGTTTGTTATTATTATTGATGGGGAGATCGAACTACACATAGACAAATTCCTTCGTTCCGACTGGATCTAGTATCCCAATTTCACCATTTAGCACTTTTTTTTATCTTATTCTATATGGGTTTAGTTTTTACCACCTTTTGTACCACTTTTCTCCGAAACGGTTAAATCCAATTTCTTGCGGCTTTCTGCGTCATCTTAAAGAAATATTTGTGGTCACAGTCCAATATTTTAGTAAAACCTAAAACAATTAAACAGTCATTTCCATGTGAAGAAAATAAGGTTTTTATCTTATACGTTGATAGTGTACTTTAATTACGCTTATTGTTAAAAATGTTTTATAATACACATTATTTCTTATATATTTCAGACATGGAGAACGGTCGTGTTGGTGATATGAAGAAACTGGGCATCACAGAGTCGTACGTAGTAAAGCGGCAAGTGCTATTATCCGCAGCAGAAGCGGCCGAGATGATCCTGCGTGTAGACAACATCCTGAAGGCCGCACCGCGTCGCCGCGGCCGGGACAACCGCCCCTGCTAAATAGATAGGCTCTACTGAAAGCTTAAGGGTGGCTGTAATCAAAAAGAAAAAAACTTTTTAAGTAAGAAACTACTTTGATGCATATGTGTTTCTTGTTACATTCATACAGTATTAAAACATAGTAAACTAAATGGTAGCAACGTATCGGTGATGCCGCTAAAGAGGGCCGTTGTTATGCACTAAATATATAACATGGTGAAAGTGACGGGTTGCAGAAAACGAAGATAGTGGATTCATGAGTAACAAAATTGACATTCATATTTGAAAATCACAGGAAATTTCTCCTGGAAACGCAAGCTGATTATTTTTTGTTTTGAAATTACTTTTTCGCTACGCAATGTATTATTAACAACGCGATCGTATCGCTGCGCAGTGCGCTGTTGCGCGTCCGTGTAGCGGCGCAGGCGGCAGCGGACCACACGTATTACGTTGTACCTTGCCAAGTTTACGTTTTATGCAATTGTGAATGTTTTTAACTTTAAAAAGTTTACGTAAAAAAAAATTGACTAATGGAAAAAAAATCGGAAAATTTTTGGAATTTTCAATTGGAAGAAAATTCCAATGATTTTCAAATAAGAATCATGGTCTGAATCCACCTTGTTCGTTTTCGGCAACCTGTAACTTCCACCCTGTGTACGTCACTGGCGTAGCGTTCGTTACTATGTTCTCGAATGATCTATATTTCCACAGTACATCGTGAAGTGTACGCTATAAGTTTATTTATTCCTATTGTTAGTGGCACATGTACATTATACTGACGCATCCTCGAATATTTTAAGAAGTCTGAATACCTTCATCTCCATAACGAAAAATGTATGTTCAATTCAGTTAAGCATGTTCTTAATGATTACAGCTATTCTTATTATTTAGGTAATGTGCTTATAATGAATCACGTTTGTTCGGTGTTGAATGAAGAAACTGTCGCCGGCATACATCACTTTGTTGCTTGTTTTTATCCGTCTTCACTTTGCGTTTTTAGCTTAGTAGTCACCGGTGTTTTTCTCTGATGACCGTGGCCTGCGATTGCGCTGGCTCTTAGTACATAATGTTAACCAAAGTAGGTCAAGCACTGCTGGTTTGCGATGGTGCTGGTGGTCTGGTAGATGGATGCGAATTGCAAGTATCGTGTCACCGACGCGGATGATGGTAGAATTACCATACACGTACATTTATTTTAAATGGGTTTCGTTGATTTTAATTTTCCTACTTTTACTCCGTCGGTGCATGTATGAATTATCTATTCAAATTATATCGTTATTTTTTAATATTGAAATCCTGTTAGATATGCTAGCAGACTATTTGTATTGATTCTGTAACGTGTTAAGTGTTTAGTTCGCTCGGCTGCAGGTGCCTACGATTTGTAATGTATTAACTACTATTAATTAATAAAATATAAATTTA